GGGTCAGTCTGGAGAGGATGGGGTTATTTCAGCAGATATAGAGAAACTGTTCAGACCTGTAAGATGATGTATTTCCACAAAGGGTGTTCTTTCAGTCTGCTGATGAAAAGTCTTGTGGGTTTCCCACCAGTAGAAGCTGCTTAATTACATTTTGTGTATGCTCTTAGAGTACCTGTTTGGTGAGAACCTGACAAATGGTCTTCTGAAAGTAAATCAATTCTGTTTTCTTGGGCTTTCTTGAATATACATGATGTCCGGAGCCTGAAAAGCACAGCAGTGGCACAAGAGGAAGCAAACAGTGGGGCGCCAGTTAGGCTCTATGGTTCTCTGAAAGACTGTGTAGCCTCCTCTAAAGAAAAAGAAGAATGTGCCATTGGCGGTAGTGAGTAAATGGAACCTTCTTGTCTTCTTTGCTCTTGTCTCCTTATAAATAAACCATTGTTGTCCATCCTTGGCATTTGCAGTTCATTGTGATAAATTGGTCTTGATGTGTCTGACATTTCAACCAACTTGTTTAATGGTGCTTTTCTGAAAAGGCAGATCTTGCTATAACTCGAATTGGTCCAGAATATATCCAGGGTAAGAGCACTCACCATCATGTACAGCGCTAACCCTTTCCTTTCTGGGTGGATGAAGAGGAAAGTAGGAAGTAAACATTTTGGTCACGTAAGCCCAAAAGGCCTGGGTTTGTGTAAGCAGTGTACAGAAACATACTGGATTGCAGTAGCTAAAAGCCTGTTTCGTAGTGTGGACAACCACATCAAGTCCGCTTGCACTGCTGCAGCATCTCCAGGGGTGGGGAGGGGAACTCAACTTGTTGAAATAATGCAGAAGTATTTTCATCAAAATTTTGCTTTGAGTTTTATGTAAGATCTACTATCTGTTATCTGCCAGCGCTTACAAGTTGTTGGCTTCCATGCACTGATTGCTTGGGTGCAGAAACCACTGGAACGCAGAGGTTTGATGAACTGTGACCAACAGCAGCTTCTGTTGCTGCATCCCTGCAAGTTCAAGCTTTGATTTACATTTTTTAAGTGTCTGTAATTATGCTGTCAGTGAGATGATTAACACAGAGATTGCTTTTCGTAAATAGGAGTCTTCTGTACATACCTTTCCAAGCCTTTCAGCTTCCCAAAGCTATTAAGCATTTGCCTACAGCAGCCAAGCAAAAGCAATGCCCATACTTAAACTGTGACCAATAAATAACCTTCTTGCTGGTTAATGATCCCAGTGTGTTATGATACCATTTTATAATTATATTTCACCTTCTTCAAAATCAGGTGTGTGGAAAGTGTTCTTGCCTGTCTTGACCTACTTAGTTCTCAATGGAGATTTACTATGAGGATGTAAAAGCTGGTCCTACTTGGCATCAAAAACAAATTTTCCTTTCCATCATTATAGCAAGAAGAACTAGAACAATTTTTTGGGATATGGACCAGTAACCTGATTAAAAATGTCTTTGTGACTTTCTTTGGCAATACTGGGAAAAGTGGGAGACCAGTCCAATGCAAACCTTGCTCATGTCTGCATTTGAGCAGTGCATTCAGGAGACAAACTTTCAAAGTGCAAAAGCATGGAAATCCATTTGGAGTAATAAATCTGGCGAGGAAAATAATTTTCATCTCATGTATTCTAAGCATGTGTTGCTTATGGTAAAAACTTGGTTTAGAGCATGGGGTGGCCTAGAAGCAAACCTCATCACAGCGCCCAACCTTGAATTGAGTGGGGGGCAGAATTGGGGCTCAGTAGGGTGCAAGCGCTCTGTCTCGCGCGGCCATGTGCAGGGTACGGGGAGCTGTGACCTCCTTGCCCCAGCAGCAAGCTCCCATCTGCCGGGCTCTCTGAAGCAGCTCCTCAGCAGCCAGGGTTTGGTGGTGAAGATGTTTGGGAGGGGGAGCTCGGTTTCGGAGGCCGTGGAGCTCTGCACCTCAGAGCTGAGAGGCTTTGGAGGCCTTGATGGCCCGGGTAGCTGCTGGAGACCTCAGTCATGCTGTCCCTCTGTAAGATATTTGTGGCAAAAAGCCCTGTTTTCACCGATGCTGCTTGGTGGGTCCCTCGGGAGACAAGGCAGCCCTGCTGTTGGGGTTGGGGTCCCTTCCCTGCAGCCAGGCCTCACACCCCCTGGCCTGCTGTGCTGCCTCATACGCGTGGCCTACGGCCATCCCTGTCCCTTTCCCAGAAGTTACTGTCTTCTCCTCTGAGTTGGCACCTTTCTCCTCAGAGGGGCTGATGGCAGTGAGGTGAGGCGAGGCCTCCGGCGCCTTCCCTCACGGGCCCCTGCAGGCTCCTCCTGCCAGAGTGCCATCTGTAATTCTTGTGTGGCTCTGTACAGAGGGTTAAAAAAAAAAAAAAAAGTTACAGCGACCGGGCTGCGCACTTTTATTTTTCCATGCAATGTTCCCCAGACTCGCACCTATGCATGAGAGGGCTGGGTAAGGCTGGTAGAAGCAGTATTTTTGGGGTGTGAGCCCTCTGTGCTGAGGGGCTGTGGTGCTTCTAGGCCAAATGGACCATTTTAGCTCCATTTTTTTCTTGTTGGAGGGGGCTGCTGGTTGCCAATCAGCTGCCACAGAATTTGTTTTTCCTTCTGTATCCATGAATTAGGGCATGTTTAAGGATGTTGCGCCCCGGCATACAGCTCTGGGGATGGTGTCTGGAGCAGCTCAGCCGCAGTGAGGCCTGCCAGCTTCCTCGAGGGTGAGGGCAAGCACCTTGTTTTACACCATTTTGCACAGTTGGCAAGCGAGCTGGTTTTCAGATGTGCTGTCTGACTTCTGTGGAAGGACGCAAGTGCTCAGCGCCACCGAGCGTCCCTGCAGTCGTGCACTATAAACCTGCAGCTTAGAGGAACCAGGGTCAAGGGGAAAATGCAGGACATAGGTCCTAGCCTGTGGCGGGGTGCCGATCTGAGCTGGCAGACATGTTGATCCCGGTGGGGTGGTGGTGTGGAGCCTTTCCAATGTCAGGTGATTTTTATTACTGACTTGCTGGTAAAATAATCAAAAAGCCTAAGTAAGGATCCCTTTTTTCCCCTGCTCTGTAGATCATGCAACATTCATAAACGTTATTTAGGTATGCAGCGAGCAAATGTCAACAAAAATGCTGTCTTGCCTCAGGGTTATAAAACTTCATTACACCTGTTATTAACTGCCTGTCTGTGGTAGGACCTAATTTTTCTTGATGTATTGGTTGCCCACAGCTTCTAGAAGCTGCTGCTTATAGCACTTCAAGGTGTTAAAACAGAGAAATCCTGGGATTAAATGGCCCTGCTTTCTAAGTGGCTGATGGATGCTTTGGGGCTGTAAGATGCACGTCTACAGCCTTCTTGTGCAGGTGGAAAGGGAGAGGTTTAATTTTCATCCTCTTGCTCAACACTTGGGAAGCTGATTGACTTCGCATAAATACCTTTACCACGGGCAGGGTAGTGTGAAAGTTTTAATTCAGAATTTAGGTTCCTCCCTTTTCAGTACACCTGCAGCCATATATAGCATTATCATCATTAATACCAATGGAAGAACTATTTGAAAACATGTAATATTTTTAAAGAGAGAAATTGTTCTGTTTAATAAGCAAATCCTGCCAAACTGGTTGATGATTCCAGAATACTAAACAATTGTTTAAACTGTGGAACATTATGCATTCAAGCAGCCTTGTCACAATAAATGTAGATCTGTTGGTCTTTACACTAGTGAAAAAAAAAAGGAATTTTGGCAGTGCAAAATAGTTACAAGAGAACAAGCTTCACAGCTTACTTGGTTCCAGATAAATTTGGGAGATTTTTTTTCATAGTTGTATTCTTGCATGTACTGGGGGTTTTGCTTCTGTGGGTCTTCCTGTGTCTCCACGTTGTAGATCACAGTAACCTTTAATTTAGGTAGTTAGAGTTAAGTTTGTTTAACATGTGTGAGTTCATGCTTGTGCTTGCCACTTTTTCCCCAGGTTTACTGACCATAATCTGCCTAGATGATTAAATTTAGAAATTGCTTTGCAATACCAAACATATAAGTAAACCCTTATACTAAAATCAGGCAATTTGTTTATCCTGGCTTAATTTGAGGTAATATTTTCAGAGTAGTTTGTCCAGTACTATTGCTGCTGTGCACTAGTCTTTTAATAGCAAAAGCACAGTGTATTGGGGGTTTGAGGCAATCACAAACAGAAAGTGCTGTTGCTGTATTGAGCATTGCTAACACTGAGTCTTCCAGTCCTCCTGCCAGTTCACCAACTACCCCTAGGTTCTTAGTTGAAATCCCTGTTGATCTATTGAAGCAACTCTGTCAGTTCATTTTGGTTGAGTTAAGCTTGAAAATAAGAGTGGGGGGTGGTATTTGTTTTATTTGCATGTTCCTGTACAGTTACGTTCCTGGAAGGGATTGGCTGTGTTAGGCATAGGCTGGAAGGACAGGAAGGTCCTTGTTTTTGGGGAAGCCTGTGCAAGGAGACCTGATTCAAGAGGCAGTAGCATGTTGCAGAGAGGAAAGTCACAGTGCAAAGCTGGGCACTTCTAGCCTATGCACAAACTGAGATGCCAAGGAGAAGGTAGGAAAGGGCCACCAGGCCCCAAGAGTGTGTTAAGAGCCATCGGGCCTATGTATGGTTTGTTGCAACTCGGTGTCTCTGGGATGGCCAGAAGCAAGAGCCTGCCTGCAAAAAATGCTAGGTAGAAGTTGCATACGAATCTGACTTCTGTTCCTCTCCCCTGATTCCTTTGAGTTTAAAGTTAAGTTTCTGGGATTTTATTGAAATAAACAGTGGTGCTTTCTGCCCTCGCCGCCCCCTCCTTTTTTTTTCATGTAAAAGTATTGTGATCTCTTTTGGGGAGCATGTACAGGACGTGTAAGCAGCCATACCTCAAAATGAGTCTTGACTTGGGATTTCATTACAATATGTCTCAGGATTGAGCCATACAAAATAAAAGTAACTTTAAAAGTGTAAACAATGTTAGCAATGCCTAGAATTATCTTTAAGTTTTTTGTTTGTTTTTTTTTTTTTTCTTCTAGCCAAGCAAGTATGTCCAGCTGAAAAAATTAGCTGTGGAGACTTAAGCAACAAATGTATACCGTCGTCCTGGAGATGTGATGGGCAGAAGGATTGTGAAAGTGGTATTGATGAGGCTGGTTGTACTCCTGGTGAGTTAGAGTAATACTTTAATATGTATGCAGCATCTCCCTTTAGGACTATAAAAGTTCTAGAGTGACTATTACAAATTGCACGTAAAGGGATGACTTTTCCTGCCAACAAATTCATTCACTCTACGTTTGCAGTGCTAGTAGTGAATTTTAGAAAAAAAGAGGAAAGAAGGATTCTCCAGTTGGAGCTGGCTGGAGAATATAAAGTGAACTCTATGGAGAATTAAGTATTCTTTTACTACTGTAGCAGAATACAGTATTTTGGAACATGATTATCAGGGTTAATACCTAGATGATATGGTAAGTACTTAAATAACAATGTTCAAACCTTCTTCTGTGGTAGCTCAGCAGCTTACCACCATGTCCTTCCTCCTGTAGAGTGCGGTCCTATAGACTAAGGCTAGTTTCTGCTGGGATATAATAGATAGGCCTGGACACTTCTTTATTAATAGCTTGTTGGTTTCACTGGACAGAGAGAGAATGATACACTATTTACTGTAACTGTTTTAAATTCAGTCCCTAAATGGCCATTGCCTTTTATTGGGACTTTCTCTGTTGAAATTCAAAAAACGGGTAGACATGGCACTCTGGGACATGGTTTAGTCTGGTCTACCCTTAATTGGTTTAGTGTGGACTTGGTAATGTTGGGTTAATGGTTGGACTGGATGATCTTAAAGGTCTTTTCCAACCTAAACGATTCTATGATTCTATGAATGAAAGAGTTCTTTAACAGTGTTTTGCCTCTGTGAAAACTCCTACACTGTGTAATCAAGCCATTTCTCAAACTGTCTTTTTGATAGACTAAACATATTTAGATCTTTATGCTTCTTGTTGTCAAATATTTTCTTTTGAATGAATGCTTGACTCATTTTTTTTGTGGCTCCCTTCAGTATCCCAGCTTATTTTCCAACTTTATTTTTATACAGACCACCAGAACTTAGGGAATATCAGTCTTACCAGCCTGTGCAGAAGTAAAATCACTTTTCTAATACTGTTCTTATATAACTCTGTTTGTCATTCTTCAGTTCTTTGTGTGCAAATGATCCCAGGCTATTAAGAAGCTTTCTCATACTCTGTGTAGTTATTCACCCATCCATCAATATTTCTGGTGGTGTATGTGGTATCAACAATGTTATTTTTACTTCCAGATTACTGGTGAAAGAGTTGAATGATTACATGCACGCACACACTGATGTTTCTTCATTTGAAAAGTGAATTTTGGGCTCTAATACCTAGCCAGTTCATAATACACATTACATATTTTCATTGAAGTTGTGTAATGAAATACGTTTTATGTGAACATTTTGTGGTTCTGAGTAAAATGTGTGGATAAATTTCTTTGCAGTCAGCTTTATCAAACAAAGTCTTACCAAAGATTTTGCTGTCTGAGCAACCTGTTCCAGTGTTTAGCCACTCATTGTAAAAATATTTTTTCTTTGTTCTTTTTTACTTTTTTTGTCACAACTTGTGCCCATTGCCTCTTCTCCTTTTGCTGTGCACTTCTGAGAAGATTTGGCCTCCAGCTTCACTGTATCACCCCTTTAGATACTGGAAAATTGCAATAAGATCTCCCTCTAACCTTCTCCAAGTTAACCAAACCCATTTCCCTCAGGCCCTCATTGTGTCATATGCTTCAGCACCATAACTGTCTTGCTGGACTTCCACTAGATCTTCTCCAGGTTGCGAATGCCTTTCCTGTACTGTCAGGGTGGCACAAAACTGGACATAGTATTTCAGATACGACCTAACAATTACCAGCTAAAGGAGAATAACCACCTCCCTCAACCCCTTGATAATGAAACCTAGTGTGTGCTTTGTTATGTATGAAGCTCAGTATGAAGGTTTGGTGCGGCTCACTAATTCAATTAACTACAGCTTCAATACAGAGTTTTTCAAAGCATCTCCGTTCCATATTGCACATGACTCAGAGGTCCTGGAGTATCAGTAACAGGTTACTGTGCTTTGCAGTGAGCCTGTGCAGCATAGTTCCAGTTGGGGGAAAAGGCATGGGTTGCCTTACGTTGCCTCCTGTTTCATGTGGAATTAAGTGCGTGTGCATGGACAATTCCTAAGTAATAAATTACTAGGATATGGTAAGTTGGTGATGTGCTTAGACCCCTGGTCCTGTGTCCTTTAAGCTAATGATGTTTTAGCAGTTTTCAAAAGTCTTTTATTTCTTTTCTGTATGAAACTCTTAGTATTCTCTCTATAGCATATGCATTTTTTTCCTTTGAATGGGAGGCTTGAATTACAGACAAGCTCAGAAGATAATTGTAACTGCTATTGAAAAATTTATTCTTTTCCCAATATGAGTTAGTGAAATTAAAATTTTTACACTGGTGGCTGCCTCCACTAATTTAATGCTGCTGCTGCTTACACCAGTAGGAGTTGTCTCATGGAGTCTGTTATTATACTAAAACTCTACTTGAAACTGTGTTGAACTTCTTTTTTTCAAGCTCTAGGTAACCCCCAAAATGAATGTAAATATGTTCTGAATGCCACATAATTTCAGCATAATGATGCTATTAATGGATTTAGAAGTAGCTGAGGTTTCTCTTCTGGATGTTTCAGCATCTCTAGTCTTGCTTATCTTCCACATTTTTAGTGCACATGTCGGTTCTTAAAATGGAAATTCAATCCAAGGACAAATTACTGTCTTCTGACAGTGGTTGTTGGGTAAGTCATGTGGAATGAATTGGTGACTTTCATCTAGTTCCTTATGACTTATTCCCCACATAGGCTGCCACCTCAGTGGGTGCACATTGGCAATCTCTGCCAATGGGTTGCTGCTGAGTCTGAATGTGGGACAGGCCGTTCTCTGGCCAGAGGACCAGGCAGAAAGGCACTGACAGGCAAACTTGGAGCTTCCTGGGTGGCTGCAAACATCAGAAGCTTTCAGTGCTAAGATCTGTCGACTCAGCACCTTTCAGAGGCATTAAACTTGCTTTGAGAAGAAAACAGGAGGTACTGCTGAGTGGCTGTAGTGGGAGCATTTTCAGTGAGGTTGCTTGTCAAATTAAGGTGTTTTCCTCATGGATGAGAACAAATGTGTTAGCTGTTTAAACTCTGAGAGCTTGTGGAGGATTGATAGCTGTCCTCTCTTTTATCCAAATCTGATAAACCTCACTAAGCCTATCCACTGATACTCTGTTAACATTCCCATTTCTTCTCTGTTTAGAATCCTCCTTTATCTGTTTTCTCTTATCTCAGCAGCACACAGTATCTGGACAAAAAAAAAAAAAAAAAAAAGTCTGTTCCTAGGTTCAGACCTTTTCTTTTTTTTTTAACCTCTGCGCCCACGTTTTTGTTCTCATTTTAAAAGCACTGACTGTCACCTGCAGCCCCTTGGAGCAGAGCACCCTGTCATAGCTAAGGCTGCATCTCTCACAGAGCTGACCAACTTGTCTATAAATAACACATCTTTCTGGATAAATGTTTGGAAGGGAGTTTATTTGTGCTCAAGACAATTTCTACGGTGAGAGCCTGCATGTGCAATAAACAAGTGGAAGATGACTTGAAGATATTGTGAGTGAGGGCATCCAGAAGAAAAACTCTAAGCTCTTTCTAAATCCATGTTAATAAAGCTATTACTTCAAGCTAATGTGACACTTTAAACATATTTTAACTATGGATACTCCAATTTCTTGGTAGGAATAACTGGCTCTTAGTATTATAATTCTTCAAAGAACTTAATATGGAGTTTATGAACATTACTTGAGCCTGCATTTCTGCATTGGTAATTTGCAACACGAACAATATTGTGCTGGTATCCAGATAGAGGAGCAGGGCTTGGTTGTGCTGAAGCTGTGCAAGCACCTGTCCCTATGGCAAAATGTTCACAGTCCAAGTTAAGGGAGGATCTGCTGCAGGAGAGTGCAGGAGAGGAAAACAATGATTATGGTAGTAGAATCACCCAAAACTGTAAGAACAGTGCAAGTATATTATAGTTCCTCCTCCTGTGTCTGCTTCTGGCTCCAGCAACTTGCTTTTCAGGTACTGTTCTGGATTTGATAATTCTTGATGGATTTTTCTTCTCAGAATTATGTAATTGCTTTTTGAATCAATGTGAAATTTATGCAGCATAGTTAGGGTAAGCACTGGCATGGCCAGCTGGAGGGAGAAAGCCTGCTGTTCAGAAATTCGGAGACAAAAAGTATAGAATGTGAATAAAAGAATCTTCTGTTTGGGGTGGGTTCTCCTTTGCACTTTGTATCAGCCATGTCCTTGGTGCATCATCTTGCACGAATGGAAGCAAACTGGTGCTCTACATCCCTCCTTTGCTTTTGGTCACTGTTGAAGACTTGGTGTTTTGACTGGCATCCGGTGTGATCTGAAAAAGGTTTGTCACAGCAGTGCTCAGAATAGCTTTCCTTCAAGGAAGGAGAGAATTTGCAGTCTTGTATGCTGTCCTTGTATAATCCCCTCTAGACAAAGGGTTCAGCTGCAGTTAGCAAGCTCTGGACTTACCTGAGTGCAGGTATGCTGAAAAAAAAATGCATCATCTCAAACAATGGATAAGTCAAATATTTCCCCTCATCTCTCCGTGTACAGTCTAGCCCTATAAAAAGCTAGCCTTAGGAGTAAGCAAAGCAGACTGTATTTATCTGAAATAAGGGTCCTGTCTGCCATGTCTAGAGTGAGAAACAACAATTTGATAGGTGAAATCCATTAAAATAAAAACTTCCACAGAGCTGTGTAAAACAGCCTTTGCTGGCCTGTTAGGCCTGGTCTGGTGCCAGTATTAGGAATGCAGTTATTCTCATAAGCAGTCCAGGCACTGACCCCATCATACTGCTTGGAACCCATTATCAGTGGATGGTAAGGCACTTTATTGTTGTTCACCCATGAACAAGGAGGAAGAATGGTGCAATTTTCAGCCTGTGGAAGAACTTCCCAAGGAAGCAGTGGAAGCTGTGAATTATTTAACCTGCAGTGGATAAAGCAGCAGTGATTAGGGAAACAGATTTGTGTCTACACAGGCTGTAATTGCACCAGGGATT